TATATATATATATATATATATATATATATATATATATATATATATATATATATATATATATATATATATATATATATATATATATATATATATATATACTACACATTATGCCTAAGCCTTTATGCGCACGCTCACTGCATTTCACAGTTTAAAAACGGCGATAAAGCACATAAGTAAAGACATTGTAGCGCCCTTCAAGGAAAGCTCAAACAACGGCAATTGTGGACAGCTGTTTCGCCCTTTTTGGGGCTCATCAGCACAGTGCACCGATGATGAGCTTCCACATACCAAGAATATATATACTATAGAAGACAGTGTGGAGGATGTGGGACACTACAGAACTTTATATACTACACATTATACCTAAGCCTTTATGCGCACGCTCACTGCATTTCACAGTTTAAAAACGGCGATAAAGCACATAAGTAAAGACATTGTAGCGCCCTTCAAGGAAAGCTCAAACAACGGCAACTGTGGACAGCTGTTTCGCCCTTTTTGGGGCTCATATATTATATATATATATATATATATATATATATATATATATATATATATATATATATATATATATATATATATATATATATACATGCATGTCATATTAATATAGCCTGTTCAGATATTGTGAACTAGATCCGTGTTTCAACTGTGAGCGCAGTTGGACATTAGTTCAAATGCATTGTTCTGGTCTTTTTAAAAGAGATAGAATATCTTACAGTTAGCCACGCGTTTTTTATAAAATGTCGAAATGAAGGCTTAAAGAAATATTTGGTCAGCAGTATCTGAAAATGTATACGGGAATATATTGCAAAATTTTATCTTTAATACCGTGAGATATTTATCCTGCTGCATGGAATAACGTTTACTATCTCAACATACAACTTTTCAGCTGTACGAACATATAAACAAATGGGACATTTCAAATTTTGCATATGAACAAAGACCTATGATCGTTTTTCGTTTCCCCCTTACTTTCGCTGAGCCAAGCGTGTCGCTATCTATAAATTAATAGTCCGTGTGTTGTGACCCGATATCGTTCACTTTCATTAAGCATGTCTTAGATCTGAAATATTTTTGCGGGAACTAACACTTTCGAACACGCTGAGTTCAAATCCGAAAAGTTCCCACTCCGTAGACCCGCAGTTTTTTCACAAAATGCTATTTCATCTTCACTAATTTCACAACAATTTTTTTCATTGTTCAACGATACGGATCGATGACGATACACGATTATGTCACTCGAAAGGACCAATTTCTATTAAACATTCTTCCTTCTAACAAAAGATCGGTTTTGCTCGAATCATTTTGAGTTATGCAATCTTATGCGTGTTGAACGTAAACAACATATCTTGTCTACAACTTTGAGAAGGTACAGATAACGCTTTCAAAAATCCTCAGTTCTAGAGATATCTCTATAAAATCACAAGGATATTAATATCAAGTCTTTTAGCTATGTCACTGGCCTGAAAAATAACTCTTTTAACGCGATCAAGATATTTAAAACAAAAGTAACGCGAAGCCAACGTAACGGCAAAGACAACGCTAAAACGAAATATTGTCGAATGGTTGCAGGTAGAAGACTTACGACAGGATCAATCTTAAATAACCTTAAACTATAAGAATAAATGTTCACATCAAAGACAAAGATCAGTCACAAAGTATAAAATATGCCCTGTAAACTTACCGCGAAGTGGAGAAATGTGTACATGAGCTGTCTATTCGATGATTTCGACGTATATAGAAGCCCTATAATACGACGTATATAGAAGCCCTATTTCCAATAATACTCGCTTATCGCACAGTATAACACCAACTCATGTAATAGTTCAAATGCAATGATAAGTTATCTCTTGAATTACGTCTTGGAAACCGTGTTGGAAATTTCAATGCTGATCGATTACATATAGATTACCGTTTTATATCTTTGTATAAAACATTTTGATCGCATGTAAGGAATTATTTCTCATTCCAGAGACATAGCACAAAGACTTGACATTAACGTCCTTGTGATTTTATAGAGATAGATCCAGAACTAAGGATTTTAGAAGGAATTATCTGTACCTTCCCAAAGTTGTAGACAAGATATGTTGTTTACGTCCAACACGCATAAGATTGCATAATTCAGAATGATTCGAGCAAAACCGGTCTTTTGTTTAAAGGAAGAATGGTTAATAGAAATTGGTCCTTTTGAGTGACATAATCGTGTATCGTCATCTATCCGTGTCGTTGAACAATGAAAAAATTTGTTGTGAAATTAGTGAAGATAAAATAGCATTTTGTGAAAAAACTGCGGGTCTACGGAGTGGGAACTTTTCGGATTTGAAATCAGCGTGTTCGAAAGTGTTCGTTCCCGTAAAAATATTTCAGATCTAAGACATGCTTAATGAAAATCTTTTTCTAGGCACTTTTCGAGGTCACAACATACGGACTATAAGCTCCGCTGGTAGAGATAATCATTCCAATATAATTAGTATACGAACAACTAAATGGCCACAACTTTCAATAAAACTGATTTCAACGCAACTGTTAATTTCTGTATGCTGATATCATTTTAGTCAATTTGGTCGATTCTGATTGGTTAAAAACAGTGCCGATTAAACATTCATTGGCACAATGTGCCGATCTAAGATTATAATCGGCTCGAATGCGAGCCCGCCTGCATTACACACAAAATGTCAAAATCTAAGTAAACAAGTTGAACATTTATATTTTGCAGCTCTTTAAATTAAGCATGCTTAAATATTTAAAAAAAATATTCACAGTTTTTCATAGGTATGAATTGAAAATTAATGTCAGAAATTACTCTCCAAAAAGCGCTAATGGCTGTTCTCGCTTGAATACATAATTTCAATGTTTCTTGTCATTGATCGCTGGTGTAAAATTGACTACAGAATGATATTGTTAGTAAATTACACTTGTTCTCGAAGTATTAATGAAAAATCGCACTTGGCGTTTTGCGAAATATCTATAATACCGCGGTATTAAAAATATTTCGCCAAACACGCGCGTGCGATTTTTAACTAATACTTCTCGAACCGGAGTAATTTCCTATAGCTACATATTTCATTATAGCGGTTTCATAATTATTTTTGACTTATGAGTGTACATTTGAACTAACAATAATCGAAATCGTTTGTGAAACAGACCTTGTGAAACACATGTTTTTTTTCACCATAATGTCAAAATATTACCTTTTATTGGAACTAACAACATCTCTTTTCTATTTATAACATCCGTTGGAATTGTCGCGGGCGGATCAGTCGCAGAAATCGACGACGTCTGTGGTGGTGCAGATTTCGCACTCGGGGGACATAACTGGACCAATGTCGTACAACACAACAAAAAAATAAGGATAGAGTAAAAAACTTGCGCAACCATTTTCGCAAAAACTGTTTTCGTGAGACGTTTCAGACGCGTACGCGAGAACGTATTATAGCGCATGAATGAAATACATAAGTATTATAAAATTTAATAATATTTTAATTCGTATATGATTGCATTGTTTACGAGGTATTGTTGACTCATTATTATCAATTGGATATTATATCATGCGTGACATTAAAGGTTATTGATATTGTCATGATTAATGCAATTATTAGATCACGATGATACTAATTCTCTACTCTGCACGGGATATTATATGAATCACCGATGCAGTGTATTGATTCACCATGCAGATCAGTATTTGTTGACCGTAGCCGTAGGGAAGAATTCCAAAAACAAACGTCTTGGTGGCGAAGTGGTTAGCGCACTTGCCTTTCCCCTCTAAGGTATAGCTGGTTCAAGCCTCAATGAGGACTTCTCAATGTGAGTCGAACCCAGTCCTCATGTGAAAAGAGTAAAAAATCAACGCTCTGCCGAAAGTCGTGGGTTTTCTCTACTCCGTGTTTCCTCCCACAGGGAAAGTTGACTAGGTGGGTTAGGCACATAGGTCTGGAGGCAGATCATTATACTGCGGTATGGACTAATAGCGGCTGCTCAAGCGCCATTTGTAAGCTCAAAGTCTACCTCGGTCGGATTCACGTCAGTCCGGTTCTATCTATCTATTCATAATGTAACCAGTCACTGAAAAGCCCTGATAGGGAGTGTGCTGTGAAATATCTGTAATCTTGCACTACTCAAGTGAATCCGTATTTGTGTAGTAGAGGCTTCAATTTGTATCTCAATATATTGACTCAAATCTCACGATCGCTTGTTGCAAGAGGGATGAAGCTAAGGTTAGCTACATGTGCGATTTTTTTTCTCGAGCGGGCAACATAACGGGTCAAATTTGAGTTGTCGGCGCAAGAGAAGTGGCAATTAACACGTGTAATGATTTTCTTATTGAAGAATTAGACAAATGAAAGTAAGAGTTTTACAAATCGAAGCTAAATTCATGATTTCTTGTCAAAATTTACTCAGGCTCTTAATTTTAGACATAAGCTTAAGTTTAAAAGGTTGATCACTAAAGATCCTACTATGCATGCGTTTAAAAGCGCATGAATTTTGTAATTTCGCCATGACTTGTGTCGACAGTAATGTGTAAACTTGTATCTTTTATTTGTCCACGTCACTGGATTAGCCGCTCTAAAGATATATTTTAACTAAGCAGTCCGCTCGTCAAGTGAAGCGATTTTCATTGGCTGTCCAAATATAGCTGATCCGTTGTAATTTGATATTTTCAGCAATCGTTGCCGTTAAACAATTTTAAGTTATATACAACTGCGTTGCCGCGCAGCACTCCATGATATACACATGCAATATTTCATTACGCGTCTGCAACGTAATGACATTTGACCCGTTGTGTTGCCGACGCGATGTGTGACCTAGGCTTTAGAATATTCATATGCATGTACACATGGAAACGGAACTGTTCAAAAACGATTAAGTTACATTATATGAATTGTAATCAACCCACGTTAACGACAAATCCATTGTTTTCCATTAAAATTCAGACAAACATACAATAATTAAAAGCAATATTCTGAAACAGGAGACCATTAGTTCGAAATTTTAAACAATTTTGTGCATGTAAGTTTTGTAAACAGTCTAAAAATACGAAAACTAATATAATAGTTGGTGAAAGCTACCTGCGCACACATGCAGGTATATTATTGCCTTTGAAATTATTAAATTATTATCGCAAAAATTATGTGCATTTTTAATTGTCTCATGCGTTTAATTGCATTCAATCATTTTTGAAGCAGACAACTTATGAGGCAAAGTTTGGCAAATATGTCTTAAAACACACCTACAATCAATTTCAAAAGTCTTGGGACAGATGCCACAAAACCTTTGAATTTCAACAAACGACAATCCCCCCCGCCCCCTGTTCAATGTTGTGTCCCGTTTCTCGTCGGGTTTGATGTGTTTTGGTTTAAACAACATTGATTGGGGTGGGTGGAGGGGGAGGGGAGCGGTATTGTGTGTAAAAAACTGTAATGATCCACTTACAAGCTAAAACTACAGTGTGTATCAAAATAATTCGAATCCAAATTTGACAGACTGCTGTTTATAAAATACTAAAGTAAACCATATAATTTTTATATGGCAATAAAGAATAGCCTATTAGGTTTCCGATTATATCGTTCTTATATCAATAAGATCAAAAATGACCAAGAAATCGTGTGTTAAAACTGGTTGCTCGAAATCAAATTTTTCCGCCGATGGGAATTCGAAGTGAGACGTACAAACAAAAGATAATGCAAATTTAATTAATCAACAAACTGTTATGTAGCAAAATTTAAGCTCCTATGCTTTCAACATGTTGAACGAGAAGAAATTCGCGTTAAATTTGCATTTTAGTTTTCAGTGATGATTAGCATTTCAAAGCCTTGTGGGACTAACTTTGAAAGAAAAAATGTCCAATTCCCATCGGCGTAAAATTGTGATTTTTATGGACTTTTTTTGTCAAAGCAATACTCCTTCATTTTCCAACTAAATGACGCGTACAGCATGTCATTTGAAAGATAAATAAATGAACTTAACAATGGTGTAAAACCAACCGAATTTGTCAAATATATTCTGCGTTATTACACGCCAAATTTGGATTCGAATTATTTTGATACACACTGTACATGTGTCCCAACAACTTCTGAAAGTGATTGTCTGGGCCCCATATACCATAACATCATTGTACATCTCAAAAGTACAGGGAATAGAATGCTCTGCGAACGAAGTATTTCAGCTCCATTTCGTTCACAGAACATCTAATGACATTATAGAACAATTAAGAGCGGCCGTCTGTAAAAATCGACCAAAGGTGTGCAATATAGAAAATATTGAAATTTTTCTTTTTCGGCCCTAATGTACGCCTAGATGAACTATTCAAGGAAAAAAATACTAAAAACTTCATCAGGTTCTTATTTCAGGAGAACGGGCCGATTTTCTCTTTTCACAGCTGACAAGCTAATTTCAAGGCCCATTCACCGCATCTCATAAAAAAATCGTTAAAAAATTTAGCGTTGAAGTATTTCAATAACTACAATAATATTACGAAATAACAGACATTTCTCGATAATTTTCCGTTTTATATTCGGACACTGACTGAAATTCCGATATTTTAGGAAGTTTTAAACCTGGGTGATTTTTCGCATATGAAAATATTGCTTTATTTCAACACCGAAAAACGCATATTGCTACATGCCTTGAGGCAATAAGATTTTAACAAGATTAAACAACAACGTTTCCTCTTTGAGAAACTGTAATAAAATTTTTGGGCTACTGAAAAAATCAAATTTTAGAGCCCTTGACATTTGTACTACAAATGTCAAAAATGACGTTACGTAACAATCGCCAAGTCGCATTTTGATTATTTCAAAATTCACCAAAAATTATATTTATCGACGTTTCACTTGAAATAAATGTCTATTATTGCAAAATTGACTATATTTTCACATAGAAAGCCGCCCGGTGTCAGATAACAATCATAACATGTTTTAAAAAAGAGCTGGTAAATCGATAGCCCGCGTGGAGTCTTTAAGGGGGATGGGAAATTACTTTCCTTAATTTTCCTCCCCCGTAGAGACTGCACGCAGGCTAGTAAATCGATCTTTCAAAACGTTTAGTCTATCATGTTGCGACTTCAGCATGGCTTCGTGTAGCTTTTCCAGGCTGGTAGACAGTTCTTGTGGGATAAGTCGTTACCGTACCCAAAGCAAACAAACCGTGATCCTTTCAAGCTGTACAAAGAACATCAAGGGACATTTGAAGAGTTTAAATACTCACGACTCTCAGTTACAAAGCGAGGCAATACTTATCCTTGCACGCGCAGGTATGTTTTAATTATTGTTATTACAATCCTATTATAACTTGCCAGGGGTAGTGGTTAGTGAAGCAGGTCGTGAATAGCAACAAATTCCGATGCCAAACATTCAGAAGTACCATTTACCTGCCGGTTATTTATATAGGAACGTGAATTCACTCGTCGTAATGAAGGCCGGACTTTATTAAGAGCACGCGTGCTAGCTGTATACATATAGTCTATAGAGTTTCAAATTACAACAAGACTAAAATCCTATTTTGTTCCTTTACAGTTTACCCGGTCCCGATGATTATCAAGTATATTTCAGTAATTCCACTCGAAACCACAGAGGAAAGCCCGCGCCGCCATATTATTTGTTTTGATTTTTTAAAATGCAAAAGTTAAGAAGCCAGCATTATGGCAAATTTGAAGTAAATTTTTCTATAGATAGGCGAAATGAGTTTTCATATTCGTCGTAGTTTAATTTTTTTGTAGCAACAAAATATGTAAACAAACGAAGCAAATAATTTGCTATAAAAGTGTCCGAACGGACACTTAATATAGGTGGCACGTCTGTGTTTACCGACTAAAATATTTACAATTTAACATAGAAACTGCAAATAAAGTTTAAACTACGTCGAATATGAAAACTCATTTCGCCTATGTATATAAAAATTTACTTCAAACTTACCATAATGCTGACTTCTTTTGGCTTTTAACAAAATCAAAACAAATAATATGGCAGCGCGGGCTTTCCTCTGTACTTTCAAGTTTTTCTCCACAATCTACATCCACGCCTGCTGACGTCACCCTTTCTATAAAGGTCCATTTAAAGCAATAAAATTTTCTAAACAATATTAAAACTAGTATAACAAAAAGTTAGTGGAATTGCTGCCGTACCTATTCGCGTTTGCGAACTTGCGAAAAAAGTTAGCGCTTTGATTACCTTGTCTTTGACATGGAGGCCTGGTTGCCAATGGCGTCTCAACGTCAGTGTTACACACATAGATATAGGAGACCATGGTTACACAGTGGTGTTACATGATCTGACCGTAATTCGTTATCAAAATGACGCCATGGTGCTTATAGATATGATAAATAGCACCGTGTTATTTATCTGACCCCCTGATAATATATTCAAAATGGCGGTCATGGCATCAGCATTTCGATGATCAGACTATCAGATCATATGGTAGCAGTTCGCGGAATCATTTAAAGCATTCGCGGAATCACGTAAAAACTGCTGTAAAATGTTTTGCAGGTAATCCACAACGAAATCTGTCAATTGTTCTGAATATAGTACTAATATAGTTTCAATAGTGATGGGTTGTAGGAGGTATTGAGTAGTTCTAATAAAATAATTTGCAATACTCGACCAATGAAGAGTTATACATTTGGCTGGGCAGCCTGGGTGATTGGCAGCTGATGGGTTATTACCCATTCTAATAACAAGTAGGTTTAACTACTGACATGTAATTTTACTGTAATAGATTGTTTGGTCAAGTAAAACAGTGAATGCAATGTTTTAAAGTTAATATCTCATTTATTTCAAATGTCAATCAAACCCTATTGACAAACCAAATATTGTAAACAAACCAAATACCGAAAACCTCCGATTATAAGGTATATACATTACAGCTGCTCATACATGGACGACATTTTGGATTAGTGGTAACCAAGTATTTATTGTTAATTATAAACACGAATTGAAACAAACAAAAATTAATGCAGCCTGCATGTTGAGATAAATCAGACATTAACATGTTAATCTATTGTCTCAATTTTTTCAGTTCTACTTAATGAAAACACCATCAGGACCAACATTCAAGTGTTTCGTTTAATTAAATACACACTGCTTGAATGTTTTTGTTAAGTTACTGCTATGTTGAATTTTTTTAGTGCAAGTTATACAGAGCCGTTATACCTGTATAGTGAGCTGATATTTTGGGGGACTTATATATTGGGGTTATATTTGGAATGGTTTAAACATTAGTGATGTGATAGGCTTATAGACTTTGGTCTGGTTGTTTTGAGTAATGGCCCTTGATGGCTTATATTTAGGGGGGGGGGGGCTTATAATCAGAGGTTTACGGTATGTGTGGATTATTACACAAATTTTAACAATAACAATATGAAAAATATGAAATGGGCCTTACTGTTTATTCAATTTTTACCCAATGGCCTCATTTTCATTTGGGATAAGAATTATAAGCTTGTGGTATGTAGGTACCAAGTGTACAAATGATGTTGGTGTGCACTTGCTACGTTAAAACAGGGAAACATTGAATAAGGCCACTTCATCAAAAGTGAGTAAACAGCAAAGTCTTTTTAGTTTATAGAACAGTATAACAATTTTTCTGATTTTGAAGTGTTGAGATATCTTTCATATTTTGTTGCCTTGAGACGAAGGTTGGTGAAAGTGTACGTTTTACAGATTTCTAATGCTGTGTTGTTAGCATAGTCCTGCCAAAGAACAATCTTCATGGAGCTGGTTGTGTCTCGTATAAGAATCTCCTGTTTTGACAGTGGGCCTTGGCGCTGTGTGTTGATAACTTTCACACCAGACATCTTGGCAACTTCGCCTTTCACTGAGAGAAGCTGTTCTGAAGCAACATGTTGTAGGGAGGGAATGTTTGTTGCCAAACCAGTCATTCCCAAATGATCGTTGTAAGGAAAATCAAGGTCACCAACAGGTAATGGGGTAATCTTTGTATGTTTCAGAATGATGAAATCTTCTTTGCCTTGGTTGGCTGATATGCGGAAATTCTGCATCCTCACAGGTCTTTTGTTCTTTTGGAGAGTTTGCATCTCGCTTTGTTTTTCAGGGGAGAAACAAACAGCCCTAACTACTTTGTGCTTACTTTGGACTGTGCAATTGAAGTATTTCCGCTCCGAACCACTTGCCTTTCCTACTGGGGAAACAGCATGAATGTAGCAGTTTACATCTGCAACTGGATTTTCTGAAAAAGATGAATTTTCATTAACTGCAATAAAATGAAGCGTGCATTTATAAGGGACGGACCATTAGAAAAGTGATGGGGGGATTTTCTAAGAGGCAATAAATTTTTTTTTGTACACCTATGACCTATTGAAGAAATTTTTTTTCCCACTTGATGGCTGGAAATATATTTTTTTAATTAAAATTTATAGGCCTATTTTCCAAGGAAGGAATTAATTTTTTTTTGCACTATGCCTGGGAAGATTTTTTTCCTTAATTTTTTTTCTGGGAATAATTTTTTTTTTGGTCCCCCCCCCATCACTTTTCTAATGGTCCGTCCCTAACTAGGTTTCTAAATGTTTTTTCGACCGGCGTTTATCAATCAAAACTTTGACAGTCATAACTTCGCAGGGCGTGGTGGTGGTACTGTATCAACTAAATTGTTTTGCACGCGAAACTTTCATGTTTATATTTCGCATGGGCATGTTCATACTTTATCGCGAGAAAATTGCTATAGAAAGCGAAATGTCAGATTTATAGCACGGGATTTGTTTATTTTCCAGATTAGAAGTGTTCTTTTGCGTTTTGACGCTAAAACTCGTGCAAAACAACGACAGCTTGATAGAACACCCAAAAAAATTAGAACATAAAAACAAAAAGTTTGTTTGACAAACTCCGCGGAAGAAACGTTTTGAAACTAGTACTCGGCATATGGATTTAAGGACAAGAAAATGAACAGAACTATAGCGTGATTTATTGTAGGCTACGACGTTGTGCAGTACTCACCTTCCATACTTGGGATAGGAGATATTTAAAGATATGTGTATATACTCTGACTCTGTAAGAGAAGAAACGTAAGATGTAAATAATTTGAAAGAATATACATGCCCCCAGAAAATAAAATACAAATACACATATGCGGACGTTTTTGCTGAGGGTGTTTATATTATTATGGCGTCCAAAATTTATAGTTCGCCAACTAAATTTTGGAATAAAAACGAACGGACATTTGAATATTCATTTAGAACTACATATTTAAAGCGAAAAAAGCTTTATAGAGTTTAGTTTAGAATCGATTCGACGGGTTTTTCACTCATCCCTACTAGGAGGACCAGCCCTACCTACTGTTTATATCGGAAATTTCCAGCCCTACTACGCCTAGTAGGGCTGACGATCCTGTCATATAAACGAAAACAGTTTTAAATAGGTAAATTTGTGTATTAGCAAGCGAGGATCTCGCCTAGGAAGACCAGCCCTTTAAACAACGCCATCGACTGCGCTAATTTACACGTGGTCTTGAGCGACTTGTCTTTATTCGTTTTAAATAACATGTTAGAAGATTACTTTAGCATGATAAAGACCCAAAAACTATACGTAATGCCAAAAGGCGGACACATTTATGGTACAGTATGTTACTGTATTAAACATGGACCTCACTAAAAAAATAGACAGCTGAACAATAGTAAATAGAAGTTAGAAAAAATAGTAAAACATACCTTGATTGAAGTCTAAAGCTGTTGATATTCAAAACTGCTGAGTGAAATTCACACGTGCTCTCGTAGGGCTTGGAAATACAGAATGCGCACTTGCTTGCTGCTTGCATGTGTTAATAATGAAATCGGCATGCTGGCTATCACGTGTGCTCTCACGTGTAAACGGACTGATTGTGATTGGCTACCGTCACTTGCATCACACAGCAGATACATTATTATACATGCAGATTTATCATTACACACGCAGAAATCTCACATCTTGTAACAAGTTTGTCAACAAAGCTTGTACAAGTTGTCTTCGAACTGCTTGTCACAAGTTGTCGACAAGTTTGGAACAACTTGTTAACAGTTGTAAGTGTTACAACCTTGTTGATATTATCAGGCTTATTACAAGGTTTTTCAAACAAGTCCGATACAGTCATGATATAGCAGTATAGTATTGTTACAACGCTGTCTCGTCAACCTTGTAACATTTTTGTTTAACATGACTGTATCAGACTTGTTAGAAAAACCTTGTGAGTTGTGACAAGTCTGATAATGGCCGTTTAATAGTAGAGACGCATGCGTCTGGACGAACTTGGGCAAGCATTTGTTGTTCGTCTGGTTATGCGTCCTTATGGTATAAAGATGGGCACAAGACGCATTATGCGTCTAGACGAACTATGTTCGATTCTTCGTCTTAAGAGACGCACAACCGATGATAGTTCGTCTAGACGCATAATGCGTCTTGTGCCCGTCTTTATACTGAGGACGCATAACCAGACGAATAATATAGAAGACGCATTATATTAGACGAATAATATAGAAGACTCGTTATGCGTCTCTAGTATTTGTAACAACTTGTGCGTTTTTACGTGTGTAGTGTACCCACTTTTTTGTGCGCGTGCTCGGCAAGTTACTAGATGCATGCCTGCCATTGGATGATGGCTCGCTTTAACTGCTCGAGCACGCGCTGTTGATCATATTTTCCTCGGTCGCCTGAAAAAAAGTGGGTACATGAAAAAGTTTCCGCAGTGTTTACGACGCGCAGTTACACCTCTGTTTGTATCTACTCTGTGCTTGTATGCCTATTCTCATGACAAAGTTCAATGCTTTTTACCAAGAAAGTTAAATGTTTGTGATGACATTTGATGGTTCAATTCAATCAGCTTGGAACTGATTGAATTACGTGATTGGCTGATCAGATTAAAACCTGTCAAGTGCTCTTGACAAACATTGAAGATTCTCTTATAACAAAAAACTAACAAGATGTGCAAAAAAATATTTTTGAAATATTTAATGGAAATTATAATATAGCTGGAAGCTTTGACTGCATACATAGTAACTAATACCTTCCATGTAGTGTTTCCATACATCTGCAAGGAGGGGTGAATGTTTTCCATTGGGTTGTGCATGAATTAACTATAAATTTGTTCTAATTTATAGCCAGTAGAAATAATACAATTAGAAATATGAATTAATGTAACTTTCACTGTGTCTTTGTGGAGAAATTAAATAAATATTTTCAAACAAGATCTCGATCTGTCCAGTACAGAATATTTTACTGCAGTACGGTTGTAGTCTAATGTACATGTCCAAAGGCAACTCCATAAATAGATTGTAAATGTTATTTGGAAATTCACAACAGCAACCAGAAGTTTACTTCATCAAAGCTGAACATGTACTGTATATAAACCAATACCATCGCACATAGTTATAGATATTTCTAGTGCCAGAAATTTCTCCATGTACACAAATTGATCATAGAATCCACCGACTTAAATCCATATCAGGTGCTGAATGCCATCAAAGGCCCATCATTACATAAATATTAATTGAATTAGCAAAGTCCAATATGCTAGGATAAGGGAACAGGTTGATTCTGTGGCATAAAGAATGAGTCCTTTTTAGTTTCTTTGTTGAATCAAGTCAATGGTAACAATTTACAACTGTTGGAATGATCTGTTACTGTTATTTATTGATTTCAGATCTGTACATTGTGCTCCATGAGAATATTTAAATCTACAAAGACAAAAAAATCATTATAATAAACAGCAAACAAAAATTAATAACTTATAATACAGTAAAAGGGGAGGACCATGATATTAAATTATATGTTGAAGAAAAGACAAATATTATATACTGGAGGGATATGCAGACTTACCATTTTCCAGCCTAACCAAGGATCTAATTTCCATACAAAATACTCATAATAAGTAATATAAATTTCATTCTCCCTCTTTCATGCTATTCCTCCGAATGAAAAGCATTTTCCTATTAATTCGCCATTCCTCTGTACACAATACAATAACCAAACTAGTTTTGTTATTATAGGCTAGGCTTGTCTTGGCAAACAAGTACCCACACTCGACTTTATTCACACAGTTAAACTTATTTACATTCATATACCCATGCTTTGGAAACCATGAGCCTTTCTACTTTAGCTTTTTTAATGTACGTCTTTACTAATGTCTGTTTTCCACCGTCCATGTAGTTTTAACAATTTCTCTTTATTAGGAGCCGTCAAATTTTGAGCAATTGTGGTTGCACCACCAGCGCGGAAACTATGCAATCCGTACAACTTTTCGTCATAGCCTAACTCTTTAAGGCATTCTTTGAAATTCTCACGGAATCTTGTGTAGGACAAGACTCTCTTTCCTAAAGTGTAACTATCTACTGATTTTAAATAAACTAGGTTCCTAAATAAATGAACCTCACTGTCATTAAGTAAGATGTTCGCCTTCGCGAGGTATCTGTTTATTAAAACACCAGGACAAGTTTCAGCATTGGATCTTGCTATAAACACTTGCTGACCTTGTCTATAGATGTCCGTTTTGCTTTCTGGCACATTAATGACGAAATGATCGTCAAACCACATGATATCCCGTACTCTAATGTTAAGAAGTTCTTTTGCGCGGAACAATCCTGCGAATGATAAAACACACATAGTTGCCAGTCTCAAATCTTTAAGTGTAGCGTCTATATGCCCGTACTTCCGAACAATATCTTTAATCAATTCCACAGAAACTGGTTCTTTCTTCACCACTGGACTCGTTCTGCTTCTCTTTTCTACTTCAACCATATGCCGACATATGTCAGCATCTAAAGGATTTTGGGGTAATGGCAATATCCCATGAACCCACTTAAGAGCAGCATAAGCCATGGACGCTGCACTGACATTTTGTTTACCTAAGAGAAACGACAAATACAAACACAAATGCACTATTGTGGCAGGCAATACACCCGATAACCCTCTCTGAGATTGGGATTGCAAAACAAAACAATTTCTTTAATATATCTCTTCACTGTAGCCCTCGCACGGGACCTAAAACAATCTAAGATCAATTTCCTGACTGATTCAATTGCAACAGATTTCCAAACGTGAGAATGCATATAAAACCTAAAATGAGACGCAAAAAAAAAATTTGCAATTAATATACGGTATAAATGAATCATGCCCAAGGATGTTGGATCTTGTCAACCACACATGCAATGCCCTCTCGGCCTAAGCTTTTTTTTTTTTTTTCATGTGTACAGTTTTTCTTTTACCTTGTCGTATTTTATGGCTTATCAGCCTGGACAATAAATACATAAAGTCCACACAACTGTCATTATTTTTTTTTTTTAATGTTAACAGCTTTCTTTTTATCATTCTTTTATCTTCTCTTATTTTATGGCCCATCGGCCTGGACAATAATTCCACACAACTGTCATTAATTTTTTTTTTTTTTTAATGCTAACATCTTTCTCTTATCATTCTTTTAGCTTCTCTTATTTTATGTCCCATCGGCCTGGACAATAAGTCCACACAACTGTCATTATTTTTACACACAACGTCCATAAATTCCATCATGTTCACATCGTTACACAAACGATAGTCTAACAGCAATAATGTAGCCGTTCCAGTCGGACGCTCCTATTATGGACTTCGTGTTCCTTCCATGTATACAACACTGATTCCCTTTGTAAGACCTATATTCTTGAATATTATTTTCATAACGCTGCCAAAGTAGCGGCCAGAACACCGCAGAAGGCCAAAAGGGCACTATCAAAGTGCCGATACACTTCTGCGACTCCATATAACTAAGGACTTGTGCAATAATGTTTACAGGCGGGACTACAAGACAGTTTTCTCCTGTCCATTGCTGAAAAAATGCATCTACACCCGTGCAACCTGGGTTCCAGAAACGGGAGAAAAACCGTTTCACCTTTGTATTGTAATAAGACGCAAAGCAATCCAGTGTGTGTGGACCCCAAATCGCATCTAACTCTTTTTAAAAAAAAAAATCAGAGGTAATTTGCCAATCGTCACAATCCTTAATTTTGCTTATGAAATCAGCTTGGGCGTTCAATTCTTGTGGAATCCATTGAATACTCATATCAATGTTATTTGCCAAACAGTATGAAAAAATTTTATAGGCAAGTGCATGTAAAGTCAACTTCATACTACCCACATCTACAATCTTCGCGGTAGATTGATTATCCGTGAACCACTTAATACGGGAATTAAACAGTTTTTCCCCAAAGGCTTCTAAACTGTACAATATGGTAATCAGTTCACGATGTGTTGAACTACAGGATACCTCCTCAGGGGTAAACATTTTGTAACAAACCATTTGGGTCTCACCCTGTACTAATGCTCCACAAGCATACGCACTGGCGTCAGAATAAACCATTTTGTTGTGTGCTATGCGATTGAAGCAGTACTTACTGTTTACAAATTGTAAATTTTGCAACCAAAAATTAATTTCAGACAAACAATAATTGTCTAATGCATATTTCGTATCCCAATCTTGCCCTACAGCTACTGTCATTTGACAATGTCTGGTCATTATACGTGTAAGTCTACCCAACACAGGGCCCATGGAAATAATAGTTCCCACTATTTTAGCTAATTCACGAGCAGATTTTGTTGGAAATTCACTGGCATTGCGAAGCAAAGCTGCAGCTTTAGTGATACGCTTATCTGCTATAGAAATATTCCCACTTTTCGAATTCCACTTAATTCCAAGCCATTCTAGAATTTGCGTTGGATCCCAAACACTTTTTTCTTCGGCTACAATAAACCCCGCTGCGAACAAATCCCCTCGAATGTGATGGGCGGCATATTCAACTTTCTCAACCGTTTCTTCTATGCCAAGACCATCGTCCAAATATACTAAGGAATGTAAACCCCTGCTTCGCCACAATTTCACAAGAGGGCGCAATAATTTTGTAAATATGTATGGAGCATTTGACAACCCAAAAGGTAATACATTGAAGTTGAAATATCTTGGTACACCGTTTTTAAAAGTCCAACTAAATTCCAAATATTTTCGATGCCCCGAAAAAATATCAACATGGCGATATCCGCTTTTTAAATCAAATTTTGTCATGAAACCGTTTAAAGTAAAAAATTTCGAGGGCTTTCTTATGATCATCAAACTCTACCTTCTTGTAAAAGGCATTTATTAACGAGCCTGAAATCTAGGATAAGTCTTTTCTTCCCTGATGGCTGAACGGATACTGAGAGAGGACTGACTACATGTAAATCTTGTCTACATTGTACTTCAGAAATCGGATCTCCCTCTAATAACTCGTTGATTGTATCACTAACAAAATCGTCGTGCAATTTTGCGGAACGATTGTTCGACTTGAAAGAATATGCTGGTTCAACTAAGAATGCAATTTTATACCCTTCACGTTTCGTGTTTAGAATAAATTTTGGAGCCTCGATCGCTTCCAAAACTGTATATGTTGCTTAAGTCTACCCCGTACTTGACAAGTCTGTGTGGGCAGTTGAGAACTACCATTAATGCCCGTGCAAACAAATTCCCCTTTATCATACGACTGTACCTGTAACACACACATTTCGTCCTCAGACAAATCACTCTTCTCACTTTCCACTCTGGTCTGCACTGGGACGTTGTTGTTCCCAACTTGGCTTCTTGGAGAAGTGATAATAGCCATATGAAGTGGGCACTCCTTTGTCTGGATCGGTATCCAACCCTGCATTCGTAGCTCCAGTGACCTTTATACCCGCAGGTGAAGCAAATGTCGTTGGCTTTCCCATGAGTTTGCTGACCGCCTTGCACAGCGAAACATAAATAATGAAACAAAACAAGTAAAATTAAGTTCAACTTCATACCTAAACATAAAAACAAAAGAAAAACGTATTCTGCAGTACATTCAAGTGTAGGTTGTAGTTGTCGAGAACTTGAAGGATTATACTATCATAATCACTTCCTTTTGTATTCTATACTGATGCTCACAGAAGCATGACGTTCCGCGTCATGCCTTCAAACAATAGGAAAATATATAAACATTGAAGTAGACATAATTGATTTAACTGCAGAATGCAGTAACATTATACATAACTGCATTATATTATTAGAACTTGTACCAATAATTGTAACCTTTATGCTATTTAGCCTAATTAGTTTAATAAGGTATTAAATGCATTTAATGTACTATATGCCAAATGTGCAAGCCTGTTTTCTTCTTCAAGCCTGAACTGCAAATTTGCTGAGGATTTCAAGCTTGTTAATCTTTCATAAGTCATAGGTTCAATGACACAGGATGTTAATGTTTTAACTCTACTGATGGCAACATACGAGACTCCAGCAGTTCTCTCAGTTTTACCAATATCAATCCAAGCTTTTGATAGAGTAAGTCCCTGGCTTTTGTGTATCGTTAGAGCCCAAGCAAGTCTAAGAGGTAACTGTTGCCTCTCATGGAAACCATTTTCACACTGTTTGGAGACAGTGATTGGGCATATTGGGACACATGATGGTTGAGTGACATCAAAAGAAGGGCCTCTGTAGTTCTCAAACTGAACAATTACAGCAACAGGTAAGTCTGGTGGCTGATGATTGATTTGAAATATAATATCAATTATTGTTCCAGTAGCTCCATTGCAAAGGCCGACACTTGGCCACAAGTTCATGGTTAGCATAACTTTGGAACCCTTAGCAAGAAACAGTGCAGGTTCTAATCCAGACATATCTTCTGAAGGTATCTTTTTAGCAGCCTCAGAAGAATGGTGGGCATTGATATGGGCTACTGGATGCTCAAGTTTGATCAGCTGTTCATGATTGTAATTTGCAACTTGGTCATTACTGTAAAAAAGTCTGGTAGAATCTTTAAATTCAGATAAATCAGAAATGGCTGAGGGTTGACGAGTTAAAAGTAATTTCCAATCATCAATTGTAGACTCACCCTTGCGGAGTCGCAACAATAAATCCCTGAATTTAACTTGTTCTGAACTCATACCTTGTACTCGCTGATTGACAGTAAGTTTGACAACTTTGTCAAACATTCTATAAGTTTGATAACCTTGCTCACCAATAGAATTTGATGGCTTAGCATGATAAAGTGGCTTGTCTGCTACAGGTGGTAATTGTCCAGGGTCACCAAATAGGATTACAGATTTTCCTCCAAGTACTTTATCATAACATCCTGTTGCCTGTTTGGAACGTTTATCCACCCAGCCAAACGTTACTTGACCAAGCATAGAATATTCATCAATAATAATATATTCAACCTCATTTAGACTTTCCTGAAGTCGACAAAGAGACTGGCCTGTTAAATCTTTTTTGCCTCGTGATCCAATAGGTAGTTTCAGCAATGAGTGAATAGTAATACCTTTTATATTGAATGCAGCCTTACCAGTTGTGGCAGTAACTACACATTTACATTGCAGAAGGTTGCAAATCGCATTGATAAGATAACTCTTACCAGTCCCGGCTACGCCAATAACAATAAGGAATAATGGCTCTTTATCAGGTGAGATGTTAACAAAATGTGTATTAACAATATTGTAAGCAAGTGCTTGCATTTCACTGAAACTGTTTGTATCTACCACTTCATACTGTTGATCAATAATATGGTTATCCTTTTTCATTTTTATCCATGTTGGCATTTCCTGAATTTGTTGCTCAGAATACTGAGCTCTGTCTTGGTGCCAATCATACATTGATTCTGGTGTTTGTACATGTACAGAGTTCTCAAATGGTGTGTGAAGATCAGATAAAATCATCCATTCCTCTATGATATTGCCTTGCTCTTCACAAGGCTCGTCTTCTAGTTCTTGTCGACTTTGAATAACAGTTTGCCATTTATCAAGCCAGTCCGGTACATGAGTTTGTGCATAAGGTGTTTGCAAAAATTCATGTAAATGATTAGTTAGAATCTCATCAGTTGGTTCTTGGTCACCCCATGCATTGGTTTGGGTCGTGCTCCAGGGTTTGTACCTTAGAAGCTGATATTTGCAATACAGTCCAAAGTTTGGACCTTTAGGGTTGCTGGAGTAAGTAGGAAATATTCTTGGGATAACATTGTCTGGTAATTTTACTAACTCATTGTTAACAACTTTGTATGTTGTAGCAAATTGTACAAAGTTCATGTTTGCAATGTCACGTGAACTGTCGTATTGTTGACGGTTAGCATATACATCAAGAAGTGAGTCATCAGTGCAAGAATCACCATCTTCTATCAATACATTGTCACGGACCCTACGTGAACCATTGAGACTCACTGGTATCACTTTGAATGATGAACTATGCAGTTTCAAAGATAACAAATGGTGCATTGTTTCTTGAGCTGCATAGTCCCTTTCACCAAGTGTTTTCATTACTACTTTCTTTATAACTTTATGAGGATCACTATTATTGTCAACATTCTTGACAATAGAGTTAAATGCTAGTTTTAACAGAGGAGACCTTGGTTCACCTTTAGCAGCATATTTAGCAAGATATTCTACACAAGCATAGTGATCAATAACTACTTGAATATCACAGTTAGCTCTCCAACCTTGCAGCTGCAATTGTTGGTGATTATTCAATCTTGAATCATTTCTTCTAGTAACAATCTTTGCTCTATATTGTACATTACCACCTTTACTGTGAACTTCTTCAAATTGCAGTTTTGTCTGAGGACAGTGTTCAAATGGGAAATGAAATCTACATTTCAACTCAGTTTCATTAGATTTTTTTCTTAAACAGTAGCCTGTACTACAACGAGTGTGTCTTTGAACCATGTTTAAAAGATCTACATAATCAGATTGTACATCAAAGTGTGGAATGTCAATATGACGTTTCTGACATGGATGCAGTTCAGGTCTTATCCACATGTCCTCATCTGGAGGATTTGGGTTAACAGTTGATAATAGCCAATCAACATATTGACATGCTGTGTCAGCAGCTTTCTTACCAGCTTGAATATCCAGGTCTAGTTCTGTTGTATCAGAACAGTCATTCTCATCTTTAAATTTCTGGGCAAGGAATCCTTTCAGAGCAGTCTGAGTAAGTTCACACAAACCTGGATCATTATTTAGTTTAGCAGTACCATGACAATGTCTACTACCTCTACCCTGGTATTCATATCTAAACCAGTGCCACTTGGCACCAAGGGTGTCATAAAGCCAGTACTTGACAAAGCTTTCTAGCCTCTGAGTGAAAAACCAGTCGACTAAATGTGGATTGTTAATGACATTTTGTCGCCTTTTCTCACTGGTAATAATTTCCGTATTTGTTCCAAACAAAGCATGCAATTCAGGCCAATGCATATCTGCTGATGAAAAAGTAAAGAACAATGTTGGTGCTCCAACACTTGTTATAATAGCTTTTAATTCTTCTTTTACTTTGTTCCAGTAAGCATTTGTACCAGCTATATTGCCAACATACCTAGATACTTTAGATATTAATGCAGCAGAGTTGTTACTCATAGCCATATCTTTTAACTCATCAATGGTGAGATGTGCTTCACCTGGGTTTTGTTTGAGAAATATTCCACTTTGTTGTAAGATACGCTTTCTGTGAATCATATTAAAAGCCCAGTATGAAAATCTAGGATGATTGGCAAAACGGTACACCCATTTAGCAGAAATGAGTTCAGCAAATTTTAAAAGATGTTTAATTCTTTCTTGAAGAGGAACATCTCTCAAGAGACTTTGGTATTTAATGGCTCATTTTCAGTTGTTGGCCATATCATTGGGTCATTTGCACAAAGCTGATTTCTTACCGCTTCAACTTCTTGTTCCTGCTGTTCACCAACAGGTAAGAAACTACTCATTTCTGTCGAATGATTATAAACTGTGTCCTCGGAATTGTTATCGGTTATTGGGCCCAAATCGGGTATAACACCATCATCTAACACTACTTCACTTTCAGTCTCCACAGTCATAAGATCTGCTGGAATATCATTTTCAGGTAACAAGTTTAATGCAATTTCGTTAATATCTAATTCAGCATAATGAGGATTATTATGTACAAGCCATAACAATGCATCATGTACTTTTTCTCTTCTTACACTGACATCTTTAAATGTGTTATCTCTACCTTTCACTTTGACAATAATCACAGCCAAGTCTTTTGGGTATCTTGGCAAGGATGTTGCAAGTTCTGTCACATTTTGTGGCAAGTTAATGCAATGGCCAGAATATCCACGTTGTCCCCCAGGTTTAATATAAACTCTCATAATGGAAAGAGCACGTGCAATCAACATTTCCTCAACTTGAGTCAAATCTTGCAACTCATGGGGAACAGGTGAAGGGATCATTGAATTTTCATGTGAAAACTTTGGGGGGATTTATTATCCCTAGCGCATCGTGAACACACATAGATATCAGGTAACCTTGGTTTAGATTTTAATGGCCATGCCTCTTTACAAATAGCGCAATGGGAGATGACAAATTCAAGAGATTTATGAAACTTATTAATATTTTCTTTTGCCCAATGTTGTTCATTAATACTACCATTTTTTATATTGTCAAAATCTTTCAAATAATCTTGCTGATTTATAGTTCTATTAACATTATTTTGTTCAAAAATAGCAATATTTTCTGAAGAGTTTATACTTCCTCTATTTTCCTTAATAACACTAGCATCTTGCTTTTGAACAGCAGTTTCCTGTAATTGTTTTCTTTTGCGATATTTCCTAGCATTTTCCAGTCTAGTTTGTTTTTCAATTTCAGTTTCTCCAGCTCGTTTTTTTTTCTGATACAGCCTAGATCTCTCAAGTCTAGTTTGTTTTTCACTTTCAGTTTCCCCTGTTTGTTTTGCTTTTTTATACTTTCTAGCATTTTGAAGCCTAGTTGTCTTTTCATTCTCCGATTCGACTGACCTTTTTTGTTTTACACATTCATTTGAGTTGATACTTTCGTCTAGGTGTGAAGTAGGGGATCCTTGCTGGGTCATTTCAGAATTTATTAACTGAATAGTCACTCCCTTTACTTCAAAGGGTGTTACACCTGGAGGTACGGTATTCTGGAAATATATCACCAGGTTACTAACACCTTCAACAGAAACTAAAACACATTTTCCAAATGGGTGTGGTATGCCATAAAGATCTCTTGAATGAGGGTCAAAAATTTTGAAGTTTCCCTCAGAAGCCTTAAATATTGAAACAGTGTTACAACCTATAGTCAACAAGCAATATTGATAATTTAACTGCATATCCGAAAACAGATTATTGAAAGCCTCTTCCAAAGAATAGTAAGGTAGATCAATAGTTGTTGTAAACAGATCACCAGCATATGGGTCACTGAATTTCAAATCATAAATTTTATCAGAAACTGAGACCATTTCTGGCACATCACTTAACAGCAAGAAGCTTTTGTTAACAGGATTGCTTATGCAAGTATAAAAGTTATTTCCAGCACACAATATCTCATTCAAGAATGATGAATCCCATGTAACAACATTATTTATATGATTATGTACTATTGCAGTTAATGACATGGCTACACATTGTTTACCAGCATTCTGTCTGAACTTTCTTGCATCACCTTGGCTAAAATCGGCACATATTGTTTTAGCTGGGTCAACCACATCATAAACTGTGGGCCCAGGATTTTCTTCTACATCATTTGCTATTCTCAACAATAGTGGTACATACACAATGAAACATGACAGCTGAGTGAATATAAACACTGGAAAATAACTCGAACATTTATATGTTTCTGTAAATGTCTTTGTTGTCAAATTAGATACGCTCAAATGAAATATTTGTATCAATACTATTATCAATATAATTTTCATTACCAGCCGGAGATATAACATCAACATGTTTATATTATTGAGAAAAGGACGTTTGATGCCTGATAGATCATTGCTTCTCACACTATAGCTATTAAAATGTGCGCCAATTCGGGCACGATATTGCTCAATTGTTACCCCCATCCAAATGTTCAGTTTAACAAACAAACAAGGTCTTACCTGTACGGATACTTTATATTCTATCACTGCGACTTGCTCTATCGGCAATAGAAGTATGTAAAATTTGCAGTTTTTATACTGTAGCTCTGAGTCACGTGAACCTTCGTTTGTGTTTCAGCGACAATGCTTTGCTATTTATATTGTAAGTTTGATGGTAAAGAACACAATGGCTCTCGTTTGTTTCGATGGTAAAGAACACAATGGCTCTCGTTTGTTTCCGTTTGTTTGTTTAGAATTGATGTGAATTTTATTTGAGTTGCCTGTTGCCACACCGTGACCAACACGCAAAGTGTCTGATCGATATATCGATCAGCGTGAATACAATGATTCCCAACACCAAATATACACAGCCACAGGTTATATAAATATCAAACGCGGGCCTATATAAATAGAAGAACAAATCGTAAAAATTCTTCTTACTGTAAACTAAAAGGATCGTAGATAATGCTTTGATCTTACCTTAAATAAATGACTTAAAAATCGCAATATTGGCTAAATACAGTCTTGCCAACTTGTATAAAATACACCCCCCTCGTGCTAAATCTTGGCAAGTCCCGAAGAGCAGCCGGTAGCTTCCGTAAAGACCCGTCGAATCTTCTACGTCACAAAACGTCATAAAACTGAACATCCAAACATTGCTAAATCCAAATCATTGTCGCATTCATATAGCTCGGTAAAGAGGTCTGGGAACAAATCACAAGAATAGGAAGCTGCCTGCGGCAGCAAAAAGACAAAAAAGAGACTGTACAGTTTATTAGCCTACATGCATGAAAAAGATTAATAGGACTAGAAGATAAATATGTCCTTTGTATGTTTCTATGGCGAAAAAGTAATATAATTTATACTTTGTAGCTACACACGTATTTTCATTAGCTAAATTCATATTAGAAGACGGATTTCCGTCTAAGACGGGAAACTCGTGTGACGGATTTCCGTCTGGTATAAGTATGAAACGAAAACCATCGGACGGATAAATCCGAAAAAATAGGAGACCCTCCATCCCAGTCTCTTTTAAACGTTACGAGCAGAAACCCGTCTTGATTTATTCGTCTGACATAAATTTAAGACGGATTTAAGACGGAATTCCGTCTAAGACGAGAAACTCATCTAACTTTCCCGTCGTTAACCGAATTTATATCAGGACGAGTTTCTCGTCTGAGACGACTTTCCCGTCTTAGACGGAAATCCGTCTTCTAATATGAATTCGGCTATTATTGCAAAGCTTTCGATCTAAGCACGGATCGAAAGGCGAAAGCTTTGCAGTATCCACAAAGTATAAATTACAGTGGCGCCGTGGTCGGGGGGGGGGGGCATACCCCCCTTATTTTGAGACCCGTGCCTGTTGTCGGAAATTTTCGGAAAATTGTCAAGTTGTCGGAAATTGTCAAAGTTGTTTTTTGGTTTGTCGGACAAATTTTTCGGTTTGTCGGAAAAGTACTGCCCTTGGCCCCCTCCCCAAAAACATGGGTCCCACGGCGCCACTGATAAATTATAAAGTAAATATGTCCCGGCCCTTCCGTCTGTGCGTGGACCAACAATTTATACGACGTAATGACCTTTCGAGTTTTTCTCCGCAAACTACGTCACAGGTCTGCTCTCGTCACCCCTTTTATAAAGGTCTGCACTCTTTCAGGAATATTCGATGCAAAAGAAAGCCATCTCCAGTTGTCGATATGCCCTTGTCACAGAGATGAGTTTGGGCTAAGGTGGCTTTGCAACAAGAAGAATTGTGCATGTCCGCCGGAATGGGCCCCTCACAAAAGTTGTGCTAGGAGAGGTGACCGAGGACTGACTTTGCAGCAGTCTCAACTTTTGTACAATTTGACATCAGTACTTGTTCCAGTTTCTTCACGTGAGTACAGGAATATAATATAATGCTTGTATGGCTATCGCCGTTCATTTTCATATAATTTACTTTTGTACTTGTATAGCAATTTGCAAGTTTCATTGGATACATCTTTGACTGGTATGTGTCATAAAATTATCCGTCTCAGTCATGGTTTATTCATTGTACAACTGATCAAGATTCGACCCGTCTTCCTTTTCTAGATTACTGTAACTTATAAGGTTTTTTAATTAAATAGTTCAAGAAATATCTTTATATCACCTTCCATATACCAAATCACCTTCATTATTAGGTATTCAAGACGAAGTGAGCATGGTCACTGAACATCCGTCTTCTCTAAGTGAAAGACAAGATCTTTCCGTAGAAGGATCTTTTGACATCAGCGATACCACTGTTGCCAGTGAAACATCAATTTGCGAAAAGATGGAATCTCTGGCCATTTATTCGGACGAAAAGAGTTTATACTGTCCAGACAATAGCAGTACTAGTGCGAGCGAAGACTCCGCCTCGGTCAGTTGTAATGCGGCTGTGGATCTCAGTATTCGCCGAAATGCACTTAACGAATTCCTTACGGTTTCTGGAATCAATTGTATACCAGTGTCTCGAAAGCCTTTTAGTCAGTTAACGAAACGTTCACAGAATACTCATGTCTCCATAGCAACTGAGTCTATTATAGCTTTACTTGATGTAATTGCGCCTGGTGATGAGGACTTTATGGGAGCGACCAAGAGGCTAAGCTGGTTGAAAAAAACTTGACCTAGATGACCTCGATATACTGACAAGTTTATCTAAAGCCCTTGCAGAAACCTACCAACATGCTGTGGGGTGGGACACACGTCGGCAGATCTTGTATTACTCACTATAGAGTCAAAGCTGCACGCCATCACAAGCTAGAGTATGGTCGTGGAGCACCAGTACCCGATTCAAGGTCTTCTAGGATGCGAGTCAGCACCGTTCAGTTGGATCATTTCTTGACGTTTATTACAAGTCCTCATGTAGTGCAGGATCTTCCATTTGGGCAACGGCACATTCCTCTATCCAATGGTAAAATCATGGAGACACCAAACGTCATAAGGACAATGATAAAACAGCGTATCATCACTCAATACTCACAGTTTTGTTCAGAGACAAATTTCATACCCTTTAGCCCCTCCACCATGCACCGTATCCTATCATCGTGCCCAGCTTCTGTGAGAAAGTCCTTACAGGGACTGGATTATATAGCTGCTGAAGGAGCCACAGCCTTTGATGACCTTTTATCAGTTCTAGAAAAGTTAATTGATCATGGTCTTGACCATCATACAGTGCAAAGACTTCAACTGGCCTTGAAGGAAGGAAAACAATATCTGAAAACCGATTATAAGGTAATATTGATTTATTCATGTATTCATTTTATTTTTTTCACTTTTTTCATTCGTATCTTCATTCATTGAATTAACCATCTCAATTATTTATTCATTCATAATAAATCCGTGAATTCAATATCTGTCTAATTAGTTCGTGAACAAATGCTTTAATTTCGTGTATTCTTTTTTATTCACCTATTCATTTATTTATTTATTTACGTTATCATTTCTTATATTTCAATCAAAATTTTACAGAAGTACCTTTACAGAAGAAAATTATAAATAAATTTATTGTATTAATTTTTAAAGGTGCATGTGATGCAGGCTTCCACTACTGCAGACCATTGTCTCTCATTTGCCCTGAGTGATTCTAAAGATAAAAGTCTTACTCAAAAATGTGATCACCCACACAATCAATTTTGCCAATCCTGCGAGAAATTAAAATCCACTTTGTCGGAAGTAAAATCGTTAGTTAATACAACAGGGGTCGCAGAGGACAAGGACGACTTGCTTTACTGTTACGAACAAGCTGCTCAAGCCATCAATGCGTGGAAATCACATATACTAAGATCCGTACAACAGGACAAGGCACGAACTGATATTTTAGAACTATTAGATAATACTTCAGCATTAATAACGCAGGACTGGGCCATGAAGTTTTTGCCCCAGAAGTACCGTGAAACTCAACAGGATTGGTTTGGTAAACGTGGTATATCATGGCACATCAGTGTAATTGTACGCAAAGTCAACGGTAAACTGCAAAACCAAACCATGATTCACATTGTGAAGAATGCGCCGCAAGAAAGCGAAACAGTGTTGTGGATAATGGAGCACACACTTGCAACAATCAAGAAGGAACACCCAGAATTGTCAACAGCCTACTTCCGTCAAGACAATGCTGGGTGTTATCACAGTGTGGCCGTACTGTCAGCTTGTGTTGATATAACCCGACAAACAGGAGTCCATATCAAAAGAGTAGATTTCAGCGACCCTCAAGGAGGAAAAGGGGCCTGCGATCGTAAAGCTGCCACCGTTAAGGGCCATGTACGACGATTTATCAATGAAGGCCACGATGTCCTTACAGCCGAGGACTTTAGACAAGCTATCTTGTCATTTGGAGGGTTAAACGGAGTCCGAGTAGCACTCCTGGATCAAATCACAACCAAGGTATCCGTGAAGGGGAAGTGGGAAGGCGTGAGCCACCTTTTCTGTACCCAAATGATGCATATGGTGTCAGTTTTTGGAGGTCTTATGATATTGGCGAAGGGAAAACATTACCATGGAGAAAACTTCCTGGTGAGTCTAACCTACATTTCTCTTAATCTCTCTTAGTCTGACCATATTTCAAAATGGTGATTTTGTGGTGGTTATTTTGGAAAAATCTACGTATCACAAATAACCGTCCTCTCTTGTCCTTCCCTCCCCTACCCCTTTCCATTCACAACTAAAATATATGCAAATATATTTTTTGAACGATTATAATTTTTTGAATGCAAAAAGAATTGATTGCGTATTTTATGTAATATGTCTTTTTTGCTATTTCCAAAAACTAGATACACTTTTATAAGACTTTTTTCCGTCCTATAGTTCTCTGGTTAAGAGAAGCTCCCTCAGTTGAGTTTGGAATAGATTAGCCCCCACAGACCAGAATTTATGATGTCTTACATTAATTTTAATTCATAGTTCAAGTAGTTGTGACTGGATTGCCAGACGCTGCAACGAAAATAGACTTTTCTCCAGGAGAGTTTGTGGAAGTTAAGAGCTCCATTAAAAATCAAGAAGAAGAAACAGAAGAGAGTGGAGAAGACATAGAGGATGGTAGCAAAGACGGTGATGAAGACGAAGAGGCATTGAACCTTCTTGCGAAAAACAACGCATTGTTTTCGTGTCCCTCAGAAGGCTGCGTTTGTACTTTCCAGAAGCACTCAAGTCTGGAATACCATATTCTGTACGGAAAGTGCAAGTTGCTCAAAGATAGAAATACTCTCCTTGACTAAGCTAAATTACTGTATGTACAAAAGATGTCAGAGGGTACCAGCACTCAGCCCACAATCTCTGGTAAGTCAACCAACGTACAATCCGCCGAACCGCTACCTCAGGGATGGGCGTTAAAACAATCAAAGAAAAACACGCGCTTTAATGACAATCAAAAAGCATATCTTGATGAAAGGTTTAAGATCGGTCAAACAACTGGAATAAAAGCCGATCCATTGCAAGTCTCCCGTGATTTCCGCCATGCAAGAACCGAGAATGGAGAGCGCCGTTTTACCATAAATGAGTACTTGAGCCCACAACAGATACGGTCGTACTTTTCAAGGACTGCAAAAAAGAACAAATAATTGGCAGAAGAGGAAGTAGTCGAAGACCAAGAGTCCGTAGAAGAGGAGAGTGCCTATTGTTTAGAGCGTCAAAATATCCCCGAAGAATGTCAACTTAAACATCCTATCATGTGCGACACTTATAATATTTGCCAGCTCTATAGTAGCCAAAAGCTTGGAAAGCTCACTGTCAAGATACTGCGTCATTTCTGCAGCTACTTTAATATGGACGGCGTTGAATCACTTTCAGATCGTCGCAAGGCACCATACCTATCTTTTCTGAGCGATTTAGTCCAGTCTTGTACATGCTGTAGTAGGTGCTAAACTTGGATGATACAAGCTACTATATTACTATAAGCAGTGCGATTTTCAATGTTTGTCTACGATTAAAAATTGCAACCTGTGAAAGTTGCGTATTTGTCGTTTGAGGGAAAATATATTTGCCTGCCAAACGTTGAAATTTCATCCTTACTGTAAACCGTACTCTTTTCAAACGCGTTTACTAAACCCATGAAAAGTTTACTTAGTATAGTTGCTTCAGAATACGACTGCTAGTCCTATATTAACTATTAACATTTAACATTTTTTGCTGTTGTTTATTTGTTTTGTGTCCTGAGTGTGAGGTATAATTTTGAAAAGCTAAATGGCCCAGAACTCTTGCAAAAACCGCTTGTAAGTTATATAATTAATATTAAATAGATATACTCAACTGTAGCTCACATGCAAGTATAAGAACACAGACACTGAACATACATCAATTTAAATTGTTAAAGAAGGAAAACGTATAGGCTATGTAACGTTTACAGCATGCAAAAGTAGCGTGCATGTTACGTTGACAAAATAGAATAATATATACGTCTGGAATTCAGGTTGCTTAATTTCAAAGTGCAGCAATCAAAGGATTACAAAATGACTATTTTTGTAACTTTTAATTGCAACGAGAAGCTCCGAAAATATATATTAATAATTTTGTTAGCAATTTTTTAGTTGAACGGTTGACATACTGATACATTTAAATCATAGTTTAGGTCCGTTATATTAGTGCTGAAAATAAAGATCAGTATTTGACGTTTAAAAGTCGTCTAGAATTTGGTGGTGATGAGTTTTTATCGCTTTAAATTACTGTACGTTCACTTCAAGTGAAACATCGATAAATATAATTTCTGGTGATTTTTTAAATAATCAAAATGCGACTTGGCGATTGTTACGTAACGTCATTTTTGACATTTGTAGTACAAATGTCAAGGGCTCTAAAATTTGATTTTTTTAGTAGCCCAAAAATTTTATTACAGTTTCTCAAAGAGGAAACGTTGTTGTTTAATCTTGTTAAAATCTTATTGCCTCATTGCATGTAGCAATATGCGTTTTTCGGTGTTGAAATAAAGCAATATTTTCATATGCGAAAAATCACCCAGGTTTAAAACTTCCTAAAATATCGGAATTCCAGTCAGTGTCCGAATACAAAACGGAAAATTATCGAGAAATGTCTGTTATTTCGTAATATTATTGTAGTTATTGAAATACTTCAACGCTAAATTTTTTAACGATTTTTTTATGAGGTGCGGTGAATGGGCCTTGAAATTAGCTCGTCAGCTGTGAAAAGAGAAAATCGGCCCGTTCTCCTGAAATAAAAACCTGATGAAATTTTTAGTATTTTTTCCTTTAATAGTTCATCTAGGCGTACATTAGGGCCGAAAAAGAAAAATTTCAATATTTTCTATATTGCACACCTTTGGTCGATTTTTACAGACGGCCGCTCTTAAGTTTTATTAAAATTCTCAAAGTTAATAATTAACAGAATATAAATATAATTTGTTATGTCATATTGCATTCTTAATCACAAAGGTTTTATACGTTGTTTGTTTCTACAAATTTTGGCAGAGCACTAGTAGGTTATTTGAGAGGTTGTAATCCGTCAATAAAGATAGGTATCGCAAATGTTTTACGCTAGATATGTCACACATACTGTTAATTTATAGCATAGTAATATAACATCCGGTTACTTTCGCATGCGGGTAAGGGCTGAGTCAACTGCTAATTCGGGTACTCCGAAGGTAAAGAATTATAGACCTCCCTAATGCTGACGCGTTAGCAAGTACTAGCGCGCGCGACCCGCCGAAGCAAGAAAGTTGCAGAAGCTTCCAAAAATATGTAACGAAAGGGACTCGCTGTATACGGCGTTGTACGCATTATACAACACAAACTTAGTGTTATACGCTAATTATGCCAATACGCGTTTCCGGTCCAGACAAATGCAATGAAACTAACATCGGTTGTCACTTCGATTGTCACTATAGAAATATGAAATAATGGGCAACTAGGCAGCTTTTAAATCAGAACAAGGCTAAGAATAATTTGTTGAGAATGTCTAACAATGTATTTGCTATTAATGAAAGGGTTTGAAATTGATTAAGCCAAGTTTTGGATCGATTGACACTTTTCTACATAAATAAATCTGATAAATCATAGTGATATTTCTAGAGTTGAGTGTCAATCGATACATTTTATACAATTTATATACTTTGTGATTAAGTAGAATCCGTAATATATCAATACGTGCTACCTAAACACTTTTGCTTAGTATTTAATATTCTGAAAATTATTATCCCGTGACAATTGAAAGTTATATCAATGAAAATGCTATGTGTTTCAAAGTGACAACCAAGTGACAATCGAGCACGTGTTCAAACCGTTTTAGATTACATACATATTTTCATGTCAAATATGCACAATCTTTAAGTGGTTTTCGATAACTTATCCTTGCATTTTATTCAGCAATAACCTAGGTCGATAATTAACCAGATAGATGTGTTTTATCCCTTGCATATAGAGCAGGTTTAATCTCTCAGCATACGTCGCTCCCCACATATCACATCTGTTTACAAGCTCATTTATAATATACTGTTCAGTCTGTTGGATTATGTTACATTTCAAATATATTGACCACAAGCACAGTATAAAAGCATTATATATGCCAGTGCAATTCAGTAAATATGTTACACTAAATGCTATACGATTTTCGCAAAACCGATATTCTAAAACACTCGGTAATTCAAAGAGGTTAAATATGCTTTTCATTGCCTTTCATACAATCAATTTCAAAAGTCTTGGGACAGATGCCACAAAACCTTTGAATTTCAACAAACGCGAGGCGCAGCCCAGCGTTTTATATCTGATAAAATACGACAACGAGTGTTTTGAATAGCTTAAAATACGACTACAAAAGATGACGTCTCATTGCTATTTAGTATTCTTAATACTAGAAATTACTATCGCAAGGAAAGTGCTGCCCCTCCATCACATAAACACGAAAAGCACCCCTAAGGCACCTGTTCAGGTGGTAGAAAAAGTGCAATCTGAATATGAAAATACTTTGCACAAAATTGAAGCTCAGCTAAATATTCCAATTGTATTGACTTCCACAAATTCCCTACTCTTCAAGAAATTACTTCCTTGAAGATTCCTTCGTTCTAAACAAAGATGAACGACTTTGCGAAAGTCTACAAGTTATGATATGCAAGTTTTTAATGATTTGAATTATTCAAATTGATGCAGGTTTATTGGCATATCATAACCAGTTGCCATGGCTAGCTTGCCACTGAATACTGTACAATATCATATATAACAAATGATAATAATTAATACTTAAATGAATCATTTGATATGCAGAATTTAATAACAATTTCATACATAGAAATACTACCAGTAAGTCAGTTTTTGCCTCAATTATCATTTTAATGGTACTTTCAAAAGTACCACTACCGCAGAACAACAGAACAATCTGCCGATGGGGAGACAAAATCTATTTTGTTGACATTTTTGTTTTAATACGTCAGCTTCATATGACACCATTCATTATGTAAATGATTAAGATTGCAATTGTTAATACGTCTGCTTCATATGACACCATTCTTTATATAAATGATTAAGATTGTACTCAGTCAGAACTGTAAAACCATATAATAAGAAAGAAATTGTGAGCATTATGGAAAAAAGTCAAATAATTTTTCATTCGTGTACAATTGTGTGTTACAATTTGGACATCATACTGCTCATTTGACCTTATGCATAATGATGTCACAAGGCTTAATGCCTGCGAGGAATGCTGGTCTTAAGCTATGGGCAAACTAGGAAACGTTGCAGAAACATTTGTGATTCCCGATGTTTCCTCAGACGTTTCCCTGTTCGTCCACGCCTGTTTGTCCGCAACAACATTTCCTAGTTTGCCCAGGACTTTAGTAGTAATCGCCCAGGAAAATTAAACAATCCAAAATGGCCACTATCGAAATTTTCCTGGCTATCAAGCCTTAAGACGTCATTATGCATAAGGTCTATTGATTTGATATACAGACATTACAGTAAAGCCTTGTTGCCCTCGCATAAAAGAACCAGTAGGTTAAGTTGAATATAAAAAAGTGTAGTGTGAAGTAAGACAATATACGAACCACTTCAGTATAAGTCAAAATTCACTGGTTCTTTTATAGACGGCTTAATTACTGCATATCATATTCCCATAATTAAATAATAACAATATCAATAATCATTTTACTGTAATATAATAAATATATATACAGCTATTTTTATTGGCAATTTTCTACATATTTGTAAAATTTGATATACAATACCTTGTTGGCTTGATCTTTTGACAATATCAGTATACAAGTAATACAACTTTATTATTGCCAACCGTCGACGATTGCCCAGCTAGCATTCCTATAGCAAGATCACAACCTCGCTAGTATAAAGTATAAAATATAGCTAGTTCACACATAGCTAGCAAGTTTGGTACAGTTACAGCGAGTTCACAATTCACTGCTTTTTTGAAAACATAATATGAACGGCTCCTTTTGACTTGATTTGACCAGATGATCGCCACAAACACACAACAAAATATACACCTAGAGTATTTATAAAAACAGACTATCAAGTTCATTTACATATATAAATGAAAGTATGCAAACGTTCAAATAACTATTTTTATCAACATACCTTCAAAAGTATAATTCTTTTGATAGTTTTCC